TGCAAGATTCTGACCAACGGTTAGCCCCGAAGACACAAAAATGATCCCTGGCAAATGGCAATTTAGGTGCACTGCTCTGCCCTCTGTCCTCACAACTCTTTCTATTTTTTCTTGCTTCTTGTTGTCACTCTGTATCTCTTGCATTTGACAAAAACAAAGCCATCATACATTCCTAAACTGTTAATATAACCCTGGATCTATAAAAATAACACCAATGTTCTACTTTATGAACTCAAATATTCCAAAAACAGTGGTTGAGATCAGAACAGAAATAGGCATGAATTTTTAATACGAATAGTAATAAATGACTAGTTAGTTAAACTGACTCTTTAAATAGATTCACACAAAGATAGCTCAGCATGCAGACTCAAGGCCTAAAGAGCAGGAGATAAACACATGTAGTCCAAGTAGGAAAAAATGTGCATTAGATAGAGCTTCTAAGAATACCAAATAGTATGCAGATTTTTGTTGTTGTAATTTGGATGGATTCCAACTTTTCTAGAAGAAAGCTTTTGCTTACATATTAAGCAATGTATAACAGAAAAACAGGATGAGAAATATCAGCTCTTTTTAAAGAAAAATGTTAAAACTATTTTAACTGATGAATATACGTGAAGATGTTCTCTTCAGTAATAGATTTGAGTCTGCTTTTAAAAAGTTCTTTTATTTATTTATTTATTTATTTATTTATTTATTTATTTATTTATTTATTTTTAAGTAGGCTCCACACCTTATGTGGAGTCCAACATGGGGCTTGGACTCACAAACCTGAGATCAAGTCAGACACTTAATTGACTGAGCCACCCAGGCGCCCTCATAAAAAAGTTCTCCTAAAATAAGAGTCATTGTGAATCAAAGTGTTAATATGCACAATATACACATACCTTTTACAGATGCTTTTAAAATTTTTATATCTCTTTCTGTCTCTCTCTCTCTCTCTCTCTCTTTAGTTTTAAACTAAAGACTGTGGCAGACTGTGGTTTGTTGAAAAGTCTGACATCACTGAGTCTAAAGTAAATGAAAAGTTATTTATGTGCCAGACGACCCCTACAGACTGATTACCAGAAACACTGAGGGAATCAATCTCAGATTAACTCAATTTTTATTTCAGCTTTGTGGATTACCTGTAATGCAGCGTAAATTTGTATTCACGTGGAATAATATAGATATGTGTTCCACACAATAAAGTCATTATCTCTTAGGTAAAATAATTCCACTCATAGAAAAATATATAGAACACAATCTTTGTTATATGATCTCATTTCTCCTTATAGCCTGCTAAAAACAAATAACAATGCCTATAAAATGTCAACCGATGCATAACACATACAAAAAAATAGGAATCAATCTTACATAATAGTTAGGTAAAAGGGTGGATTAAAAAAATAACGAACTTATCCCATTTTTCTAGGGAAATCCTATTGAAATCTATTAGAAACATGGATTAATTGATACATGGTATCTAGATATCAGCTCTTTGAAGGAGCCGGAAGACATGAGCTTTTAAGGAAAAATAAAATGCTATTATATTTTTTATAAGAATTGCTGAAAAGTAAGACAATTTAAATTGTTAATCAATTCAGAGCTAAAGAACCTAGCTCAGATTTCCATTAAAATTTACCCAGAAGATGGAATAATTGTTTCTTATATAGATGGAGTAAACCCTGAGGGCAGCAGAGTGATGGAAAAATATGAAATATGCCTTGTCACACTGAACCGAAGGGGAGAAAAATCGCTGCCCTGCCTGATTCTTCTTTTCCAGTTTATATGTTTATTAAACACAAACAGGGGAACCTCACTTTTCAGCTTAATCTGGATACCCTTCATCAATATGATTGTGGCTTTGTTATGAATCAGTATCAGTACAAATATGTTTTAGTAATGCTATGGAAAAAGAATGGGCAAACCATTGAATTTTTTAATCATTGGCAATCCCCTGATAATATAAAAAGAGATAGTCATTTAGAGTCAACCTTAAGTCCTTTACCTGTGAATTCAAAAACATTTAATAAGCATTTACTTGGCTACAAATCTATTCACCCTACATACCCACCCTCAAACCTCCAGACGAAGTAGTAAAATTCAAACTTAAAAGGAAAGATAATTTAAAAACGAATTTTGTTTGCTATCATATATCTTGAATTGTTAAAATAGACAATAAAACAGTCATTGCATTTTTTTTTTCTTTATGTAAGAGTCAGGGCAAGTTGTCCATCTTCACTTAGTTCCCGGGCAACACCAATGGAGCCTGGTTGGATGCGCAATAACTCATGTTGCCACTGGATGGCAGTGACAGCTTTTGTCTCTGAAATGCTCAGTGTGCCCTTGATACCTCTGAGTGCCACAACTCTTTCGCAGGATATCAAAGTGTAAAAATGCACTGGGTACCTCTCCAACGGCTCACATTCCTTTTCCCGTCTCTTGCCTTTGGCTCACTCCACCCTAAGGCAGCCAATAAAGCTTCCTTACTTGAAATCGCTTTTTACTAACTTGATGTTCAATGGAATGCCAAGTTTGCAAAAGGTTAAAAAGAGAGAGAGAGAGAGAGAGAGAGAGAGAGAGAGAAAGGATGTAAGGGGGAAATACATACAGAGGACCAAATTCCCGTCTGCCACTGAATGGTGCTAAGTTTTCAGAGGATGGCAATTTCTAGAATATATTTGTTATTTAATTGCTTTCTGGCCTATAGCAAAAATATCCCAAACTTTCTTTACCATTTTATGTTTCAAATTACTTCTTATGACACACACGCACTCCAACATGCATACGTGTCTCAAATAATTGTTTGTGGTTGGGACAATTAACTGATGACAGTTTAATTTTCTGGAGAGAGAATTGGTTTTCAATTGGCAACGAGGAAAAAAATTACTTTGGAAAAAAAAGTTTTTAGATATAGGGAAGCTGACTAAATTGTTAGCAAAAAAAATTATACAGTTAAAATATGAAAATATCTGAGTTTTCACCAATTGAAAGATTAATGATACTTATGAAGGTGTTAGATATAGAATCAGAGCTTGAAATAGTGAATTAATTTGTTCTTTGGGAAAAGGAGGGAGTCAAGGCCTTTGCTTCTGAATAGTTTTGCTGGTTATATGGATGGAAATGACCTCAGATTACTTTTCTGATGAGTGGTTTAAGATTATTGTATTAGGGAAGTTAAAATAAAAAGGGATGAATTATTTTATACATATATGGAATGAATCAATAGAGATAAATGTAATTACCCTTATTTCAGAGAACATACCTATTAATTCCTAGGTATTTCTATTTTAAATTCCAAGAAAGTTGGGCTCTACTGTGTCGTGCCTTTCTTAGTAAATAAAGCTTAAAAATTAAACTGTACAAATAGAGAGATAACAGTTTATATTAAAGAAATTTAATATGCATTTTTATTTGCTTTTAAAACTGCTCTTATACCTCTTTGATGGAAGCTGAAATTGTTGAAAATATTACAGAAAATCATCAACAACAACAGAGAATACCAGAATGGGAATTCTGGAGCATTTTGTAATGTGCTTTGAACTTTACAAGCGTCAGAAAAATAAGAAATTTTTAAATACCAAATTTCCGATTTTTATTTTTATTTCTCTTAACACAGAGATACCAGCCAAGTAAGAAAATATCATTCAATGGTAGGAGTAGGGTTATAAAAGGAACTTGAATGGCTATTTAAAAAGGTACTCCTAATTTTGTGAAAAATAAATTTTGTCATTAAATGGAGAGATATATTCTGGACAGGTAGTGTATTATATATTTGTGGATTTGCAAAAACCAAAACTAAAGATGATTTCTTCAATTTATATTTTGTTTGCTTCCCACAAGCACTCCAGATATGTAGACTAGATATTTGTATATATAGTCCGTAGTTAGAAGGCAATTAAAAAACAAACAAAAAAAAAACAAAACAAAAAAAGAAGCATATTTGAGAAAAGAAATATTTAAGAACAAGGAAAGGAGAGGCATCTATCTTTTCACAGATCTGTCAGATTCTCACATAAACTATGGCACAATTCAGTAGCATTTGAAGATAATCTAAACAAATTTACTTAGTGCTCTCAGATAACCAGACTGTAAAATAACTAGTTTCTGAAACTTGTTTCTCCTTCATGACACAGCCAGATCTAGCTAAATAGTTAAAGTACTTGAAATGTGCTTTATTCTTCCGTTTATTTTAAAGTTGAGGTTGTACTGACCAAACTTCCTACAGGGTAGGATACATGTGCAGCGTTGCACATGCACATACAGATAATTCAAGTTAACATAATTCCCCTTGGGAACAACATTCTCTTTCTTGACTCTATATATTGACTTATCGATCAAAAAATACTTGAATAATACCCTACTGTTTCCACTTTTTGTATTTTTTTTATTATTATGGAGTTTATGTTTCACCTTCAGGCATTTAGGGGGAAGCTAGTCAAAGGCTTTTGTAAAAAAAAATTTAAGGAATAGGAAATGGAAAGTGAAATCATGACAAATTATATATTAGTATCTATTTACCTTATATCTGACATGTAACTTTAAAATTTATGAGATAAATGCATCTCCTGATTCTAGTGGAAACACATATCAATGTTTCAGGGACATTATAGGCAAGAACTTCTTCCTAAATTTTGAATACTTGGTTAGGCTATAAAAGACAAAGAGATTGAAGGGTAACTTGAATTGTATATACGTTCATACACACACACTAGATGGGACGTGGGACTTCCAGGACCATCTAATTCAGAGCACGGCTCTATGGTTTGTAGCTTGATACTGAAATTTGGAAGATGTTGCTATATAAACATACCTAAATTTTGCATGATATGGCATTTCCCCATACTTGTGTCAATTACGACACACTGATGAAAGTCAATTGCATGTGATATAAGTCATTTAGGAGGAGAATATTAAAATTTACGCCTACATGGTGACATTGTGGCTTCTCTACACATACATCCCTAAAAGAAGATAGTACAGAAAGAACTTTAAGTCCTAAGACCTTAAAAATAAACGCGGTGCTCAATTCAGCAGTGCAAATACTAAAATTAGAATGTTAAGAGAAGATTAGCATGGTCCCTGAGCAAGCATGACACACACATTTAGAAAGCATCTTATATATTTAAACATGATACAATTTTTAAAAAAGATCTTCTAATCTGTCACTAGCCTACAAAAGTTTTCAGATAGAAAAAAAAAGAGACACTTCCCAAACCGTTCACATCCATGAGTAAATATTTTTTCACCAAATCTGAACATTATGCATATAATGTCCACTTTACTACAGAAATAGTCATAGGACCATTAACTTGAACTTATTATTCCCAGAAATCTATGATGATTGATAAATTGATAGGTGATTGATAGACAGATGATCTTAGGTGTGACAGAGAGTCAAGGGGACAATTTTTTTATTAAATGAAAGGTGAACCAAAAATTTTTGTTGGGGTTAAAAAAAAAGACAGATTTTAGCCATATAATAAAATCCTTATACTTCTCTGACTCTAAACTACACTTAAATTCAATCTCCTTGTTAGAAGAACTTGATAAAGGTATTGAAGTCATTGCTGGCTTGAAGTTTTGCAATTCTACGAAATAGTTTCAAACAACGAAATATCAAATAACAGGCATTTCATGTTTTCAGCTTTATCTTGAAGAGGAGAAAAAGAAAGAGGGTTAGCATTCCTGGAAGGGTATCTGGTACCTGGTGTGAGGCACATTACATATATTATTTATTTGGTTTTAGACAGGTTCCTAAGCTGCTGAAATAAAAGATTAGGACCATTTTGCAATATTTCCAAATCGTCGTTGAAAATACGGGAACTGTTCAAATGAGAACTCGATTTTAGGGACTGAATATGTTGGAAAACAAAAATATATGTTGTTTACTGAAAACAACAACAACAACAACAACAAAAGAGGCATGTGGGTTTCATTTCCCCCAATCTTGTTATCCTGGGCTGAGGGTGTGTTGCAATGGGCACTGGTTGTCAGCAAGGCAAGGGAATTGTGCAGGTAGGGTTTTAGGGAAGATCCTTAAGCACAGAGAAGAAAGTTGGATGTTGGATTTTTTAAAATTGTACAGGGTGTTTTATGTATGCAACCATTAAATAATTCAGAGATAAAAGTAAGAGTTTAAATTTTAAAAAGTAAGTGATGAAAGTCCGGCCCATTCTCACAGTTTTTAACAAATGGCTATTCATGTCATGCTTTCCTATCACCGAGGCTATTTTCTCTGTTCCCAGAGGCACCGCCACAAGGAAAAACTCATTCCAATTATATATACAGACCCCATAATTTGCCTTTGTTCTTCCTTTGCCTTCTTAATACTTCTCTCACCTGGTGAATATTTTTTCTCCTCGCTTTCCTCATCCCCTGTGTTGAATCAAGTCTTCCCAAAAGCCCACTTTCTCTAGGGGTCTCCAAACTACATAAATAAAAATGTTTTTAACTGAGCTCATTAAAGTTCACAGAAATCCTGTCATGATTTTAAGAAAAGAGCCGCCAAATGGAGAGCCCGAGTTCTTGACTCCCTTTTCTCGTCCCACTTGTAAGTTAATACTCACTGATAAAATACTAAAATGCCAGGAAGTATAACAAGCATTTGAGGCAAAGGAATGAACCTCCAGAAGATTGGCAACAGAATGGTTTGCAAATACAGGTGTTGTGTGACTGGAAGAAAATACCACAATGTATGCCTACTTTTTTTTTTTTTTTTTGCTCTAATCTGGGTTCTTGTGCATTGATCAATTAAATGAGACTAAAATACCAAAAAAATAATAAGAAACACAAAGAATTGCAGATCCTTACTAAAACTTGCAGGCAAATTTCTAGGCGCTTTCTAAGTAGAAATGACCCGGTTTAATGACTTTGAATGGACAGTTTCAGACTCTACATTTTAAACATGCATGTGGGATTTTTTTCAATAAAATGGGGATAGTAATGAGGAATAGAGCAGAAGAAACAAAGAAAAGTTTATATAGAGAGAATAAAAACAGGCTTAAGAAAAAAAAACTTATAGTATTACACGTTCAGAGTAGATTGTATCTGTTCTCTGCATGGCATTTTCCTCTAATTATTTATCATTACTTATTACTTAGCTTGAGTCAGAATATTTAAGCCTCCTATATAGTCACATCCTACATTTATATCTATTAGGCTTAAATATATTGTCATAGCTAAATACTACAGAATTACTATCTATCCTGTTACATAGAAGGACAAACTTGAGATTTTTATCAATGTTTCCCTACTATTGACATAACTTAGGGCAGCCATCAATTCTTTTGAATACCTTAATTTTAACTAAATGTATTTCCCTTTTTCCTACCAATATTCTTATCTAACACACTAATTTTATTGGTAAAACAGATTAATCCAGACTAATATTTTTCTTAGTTAAGTAGAAATTTTAATATTGTCATCACAATATTAGTTGCGACTTCAAGAAAGTCTGACTTCAAGAAAACCTGATTTTAGCCATATTCAGAATGAAAGAGTATCCAAAAAGGCCATATTGGATATTTCAAAAATGAAATCACATTGAAAGCAGAGTTTGTATAGAGATCCACCATCTAGTTGTGGTTGTGGCCTCTCTTCTGTTGGAGATAGCACTTTATTAGGGGACCTTGCAATGCATGTTCACAAATCTGCCTCATTATTTCCGTACTGTTCGTATCTCACATTTCCAAATCCTTCCACCAATCCCCACTGAGAACTTCCTTGAGATAAAATATCCGTTTGTTTTCAGTATTATGTTTCTTAGTTTCTAATACGGTTTCTTATATACATAAATTCAGCACGCAATTATTATTTACTGAGTGCTTACAATAAGCCAGGCATTATGCTTAGCTAAGAGGATAGAGGAAAGAACAACACAAGAAAAGCTTTTTCTTATGTTGCATGTAATATCCCTAGAAAGCACTCACACATTGGACTAAGCACTCTGATTTTGTACTTAGATCCGAGTTCAAATCCTGCTTCAACTCCTATCTATGAGTTACGTTGTCATGTCATGTCATTATTTCTATTTATTCATGAGTAAAAAGATGGATAACACTTATCTAAGAGGCTTATTGCAAATGCCAAATCATATTATTAAAGTAACTATCTTAATGTGATGCTGGGATATATAAACCTTATGATAAAAGGAACTTCTATATTGTTTAATATTTGTTAAATTGTGCCAATTTTTTTCTATAACACAATTGAAACACTGTTATGACAATATTTAGGCAGAGATGATACAGAGCCATTGGGTAAAATACTTATGGCATATCATTGCCTCATTAATGAAAACTATACTATATATTTGCTTATTGATTTTGGTAAGAGAAATGTTTATAGGTTTCTTCTAAGGAATATTTCAATGTTTAGTTTTGCACCTTGTGAATTTTGCTGTTTCAATATTTAGTTTTGCACCTTGTGAATTTTGCTGTTTATGCCTAAAAGCTCTGTGACTGCTCCAGAAACAGAAATATTGTCATTTATATTTTCATCTTTTCTAAAATATATTTATTTTATAAATTCTTGTTTCACTGTAATTTATATTAATTTAAAGTGTCAGATAAGACAGATTTAAGAACTATTTTCCGAGAACTCAACTATTGCAAAGTTATTTAACAGCTGTGACATTTGCTCATATAAAGTTCATAATATATGCATGATCGTACACTGAAGTGTATATCTACTAAGAATAAGGATTATAGTGTTACTTAAATTTTTCATGGCGTTACTTATGTTATTACTTCTGTTACTAGTATATATATACAGATATATTTCAATGCGAGCACATATGGGGTTATTTTTTGTTAACGTGAAGCAAATACACTTTAATAGCAAATATACAACACAGTAAATTTCTGATTCAAATATCTCATTCCTTAACTTTTCATATTATTCATTTTACCCTGATCACGCGTATTTTTAAGTAAAAACTTCAAGGAATGTATCCATGTGCAGTTTATGTTTTGAATACTGCAGATCTAAGCATGGAAGTCATTCTGTTACCCCAGCACATTAACTACTTTGTGCGTGGTCAAAATATTTTTGGACCGCAGTAGTTTTCTCACAAAACTTTGTTCTCATTGTTACATTATATCCTGGCACTCTGAGTCAAATAGAATCTGAAACCAGTGTGATTTCTTTTACTTTTTGCCCAAATAGTTGTGGAATTTTTCGTTAATCTTGAAATCCAGAAACTTGGCCAAGTTTGTTCTAAATCTCTTCATTTGCATGTGTTGGCAGGGAGGGGTAGTTAGTGAAACCTTTGTCTGGGATACACAGGTAAAGTCTCCTCGGATGGTGTGTTTTAGGGAAACTCATAGGAAGTATTCTCTTCTAATGAATGACTGTTTACCATCATTTGTTTTAGTTCATTTCCAATGGATGAATTATTTATATATTTTATTTTTGTTTTCTTTCCTCTGTAGGACCTATTAGCATTACTTTTTGTATTTTTACAAAGCTGTCGTCTTTATTAGTGATTTTTTTCTACGATGTCAATTATGTCCTTTACTTCAGCTGAAGCCAACTTTAATTTTTCCATCGTGATAGCTTCTTCTCTCCCATAGTCTTTATATCTTTGCCAGCAATAACTTACATTTCAACATTTGCCCTATTCTCTTAGTTTTTCCCATTTTGTATTTATTTGACATATTTGTGACAAAAGTCCTTTCTTGAGTAAAAACTGCTTTCAATGGCTCAAAGTCAATGATTTTTTGTTGTTTATTTTTGTTTGTTTTTTTTTTTTACTTAAATGAGGCAAAATCTCACACTGTTGATATGTAAAAAGGGCATTATTCCCTTTGATGGATATCACTTTCTATCTTAGTGTTTTCAGAATCTCATAATCATTGTATCTGCTTTCTCTGGTGATATGTATCTGACCCAGTAAAATTCCAGGATCAAGTAATCACTTAAATAGCTGGGTTCCACAAAAGTTATGACAGAAAACTATTCTGTGTCTCTTGTCCTCCCTCCTGAAAATTAGCAGATAAGTTTGTTCCTAGGGAATTTAAAGTATTCTACAAATTCTCAGAATAGATTATTTTCAAGATTTTGCAATAGTTCTCTTATTCCTGTTGCCTCTTTTATAGCTGAGGGCACAGTGGTCCTTGAGCCCG